TCGACTGACCTTCGCTAGGTTACGGAGGATTAGGGTAAATTATATAACGTTATTTTTAGCAAGGTTTGAGAACGCTGCTAAATTAGTCTGGCTGAAAAATGTTTATATATTACCTTAACTCAAAAAATATATTTCACTGTACAAGATATTTTTTTTTTTTAAAAGTTTTATTTGATTTCGGTCGTCTGGTTTGATTTAATCAAATTTTATATATATATATATATATATATATATATATATATATATATAATATATAATATATATATATATATATATAATATATATATATATATATATACATATATATATATATTACACACACACACACAAGTTTTTTTTATTGGAACGAGAATAATTTGTAAATACCAAGATCTTCATTATCTTAAGTAACGTTTAAGTGCTCTGTGAGACTTTACTTTGTACTTATCACTGTTAAGTGTTACTTTCCTAAGTATCACTGTGTAAAGTGTCACATGAAAAGACACTGCAAGAATTAATAGTAAATGAGCATTTATATTATTATATTAATGGTTAAGCTCTAAACTCACTGGGGTTAAATAGCGCCTGGTAATGGTACTTTATTATATTTAATCCTAAGAAGTAGATGGTTGCTATAGTTCCATGGATTAAGAGCCCAACAGTCATAATGCATGGCTGAAGCATCTCACATGTTACAGTCACAATGCATGGCTGAAGCATCTCACATGTTACAGTCACAATGCATGGCTGAAGCATCTCACATGTTACAGTCACAATGCATGGCTGAAGCATCTCACATGTTACAGTCACAATGCATGGCTGAAGCATCTCACATGTTACAGTCACAATGCATGGCTGAAGCATCTCACATGTTACAGTCACAATGCATGGCTGAAGCATCTCATCTCACCAAGTCACAATACCGTAATTGGAACAGTTGACAACTTACCCACAAAATTACAATCCCAAGCTGGAACAACTGACAAACCACAATTGACAACTAATCACACACGTGCTAATCCAGGAAGGAATCAAGCATCTAAAGGATCCTCTCCTGACTTGGAATATCTTAGACAAAAAAAAAAAAAAAGCAATAACTGAATTCTCTAATTGAAGTTATCATGAACACAGTGATCAGAGAGGTGTTAATGGTAGTGCAGTAGCGAATTAACTTTCTTTGATGTTGCTACTGTAATCAGACTCTGGTCAGCATTTCGCACACACTATACTTAAAAAAAAAAAAACGAATTTATATTAAGTGTAGGTGTATTGTATGGGTAGGGAGGCTCGTGTGTGTGTGTGTGTGTGTGTGTGTGTGTGTGTGTGTGTGTGTGGGTGTGTGTGTGTGTGTGTGTGTGTGTGTGTGTGTGTGTGTGTGGTTGCAGGGGTCGATTCATAGCTCCTCGCCCCGCCCTTCACTGGTCGCTACTAGGTACTCTCCCTGCTCCACGAGGTTTATCATGCCTCTTCTTAAAGCTATGTATGGATCCTGCCTCTACTACATCACTTCCCGACTATTCCACTTCCTGACAACTCTGTGACTGAAAAAAATACTTCAACATCCCTGACCCTAACATCCCTGTGATTCATCTGAGTCCTCATCCTCCAACTGTGATCCCTTGTTTGCTGTATCTCATCTCTGGAAAATCCTGTGTCCACCTTATCGGGTTCCTCTCAGTATTTTACATGTCGTTATCATATCCCCCCCAAGGTTCTTTTTGTACAAAAGTATTAATTTTTACATTAAAATAAATGAAAAAATATATTTTTAAACGTACAAGAGAAAATTTTAGAAAGGTTTAATTTTAAACGAGTTCTTGCTAATTGACCAGTTTCACATATTCGGCACGTCATATATACATATTATATACATGCGCACACATTAATGTTTATGAGTTAGAATCTTTCCAAATGCACGAAAAGTTTTCGTCCCTTTTATCTCTGTTTCCATTCCCTCTTCCTCTACCTTCACAATCCCCTAACTCTCTCGGGCTTGGCCTCAGTCGTTCCGTTTTTCCAGCTGCCGGGTTTTTCGACTTCTGAGTAAATGGAGTATTGTTATTATTTTTGTTATTGTTGACAACTATATGTAACAGTCTCGCTGTACAAGCCTTGCTTTTGTTGATCCATGGCATCAATCTACTAAAAGTATTATCTGCAAATTGCGCTTATTTTTCGACCTATGTTTATTTTAGCTACCAGCTTTCTCCATCCCCCCTACCCCATCTTCCTAGTCCCAGATATCAGTTCTCTCCACCTCTCCTAACCATCTTCGTCGTAGAAACCAGTTGTCTCAACCTCTCCTACACCATCTTCCCGTCCCAGATACCAGCTGTCTCCACTACTCCTGAAAACTTTCTCGGCAGTAAGTTCTAATGGGGAATGTAAAGGCTTCAAAAATTTGAAGCAAATTACCAACAGCCCTTTGACCCCAACGACCGCTCGGGAAGCTTTAAGGCAGAGTAAACAAGGTTGACAAAAAAGGTTTTCCTTAACAGGAATAAAATTTAATAATATGTTTATGTAAGTGTATAATTAAATTAAAATACCAGAAAAATTTCTAAAAATAAGAATCAGACATATTAATCAAATTATTACTATTCTACTACTATATTCCGGAGGGGGTATTAAAGAGGGGATTAAAATTTGGGGAGTAGTTTATGTGGATCGTTTTGATTCGAATCGGGGTTTATTAGATTTTGCAATTATTTGTCGTGAAATGTCAACTATTGTTTGCATGGCTGATTACCCCGTCATCAAAAAACGTATTCTATTGCAAAAATCAAATTTGCTTTCCAAAGAATACAAATTGTATAAGCCCAGATGTAATTACTCATGGAACCCTTGATGTTAGTTCCTATCTCTTATTACCGTCACAGGATTGAAGAACAACCCAGCCATACTTTTACAGGGTGGATTGAAAAGGCACAATCAAAGCCACCTCGTCCCAGCATTCACCCCAAAGGGTGGGGCGCACCCTTATAGTGCTAAGGGTACCAAAATTTCCGAAGCCTCTTTATTCGAAGAGCAGCCCCCTCAAGGGCAGAATACCATAAAAAAAAACAAAATAAAGATATCCCAAATGTTTTTTACATGTTCTTTTTCTTAACTTGTCGGATTTCATAAATGAAATTTCATTAATGATAGTTTCTGGCACAGCAACTCCCCGGAAGGGGGGGCCCAGTACAGCAACCCTTGAAGCCTAAAGTAAGCAACCCCGGAACCTAGTACAGCAACACCCCGGAACCCAGACAGCAAAACCCCGGAAGCCGACACAGAGGACATTTCTAAACTTGTTTTTTAGTAAGTATCTGCTTTCCCACTTTCCCCAGGGAAAGACAGCGCCTTGTGTTTGACACTGTCTCTGTACTTACCACCCCAAAAAAATCAACAAAGTATTTAACTTGTAAATTTCCAAGGGGGGCAAAACCAAACTTAAATTTTCCCGGAATTTGAAGAAAGTTTGTTGGGATATACAAACAGCTGGAAATTTCAGCTGATCAAACATGCAAGGAAACTACGAAATATTCAACGGTGTGGAGCTGAATCAGAAGTAAGAGGAAATGAACTACTAGGAGAGACTAGGTTAAGTTTTTGTGGATTCCCTCTCACAGACCTCCAGGGACATGACAAAGTTAATAACTTAGCTAAGCAAGCATTAAATAAAGAAATATGGGATATAGTTTCGGTTTCTCAAACAGAAGTTTAAGAAAATATCAGAAAAGAACCGGCAAACAGGTTTAAAGTAGAATAATGCAGATAGGAGCTAGCAGATCATCTGCCCCTTTTTAATGAAATGTGTCAAGTTAAACATCTATGGAGACAGTAACAGGTGAGTATATTGCAAGATGTAGTTACTGATAGAAACACAAATCTCTTCTGATAATGACAGACAGCCCAGAAAACTAGAGTATTATATCTCACTGTCTAAAACCTCCATCCTCTCAAACACATCTCAATATAAACGTTACACGATATTGCAAAACATTTCATTGTTAATAAGATACCTGAAATCTTGAGATAGTACCCACTTTCTGCATCGCGACTGCAACTCAATGACCAATATTTTACTGGTAACAAAAGACTTGAATGTTATTGAGAGTAACTCCCTAGTGAAGTGTGTTCATCAACTATATGAATATACTGATACCGTAATATACGACTCGACTGCAATGCATTTTTCGTTATGTAACTATGTCCGGTGAGGTCCGATAAAGACCCACTGTGAAATCTGTAATCCCCCTTTTTTTTTTTTTTTTTTTGGCGCTACCGCTTACAGGATGAACATGGGTATACAATAAACTAGTCGCTTAGGCTGCACGACTTAAAAAAAAAAAAAAAAAAAAACCATGGAGCTCAAACAAGAAACATCATATACCATGAGAACCAGAAGGGACATGATCATACTATAAAAAAAACTCAAAAGGATTTTGCAGGGTGAATTGGAAGAAGCTGTTTGAGGTGTGAGGAGATGGAGTGTTGTGACACAGACGACAGCTAATGACACAAATGAGACAGACAAGTCAGGAAGAACGTTTTTCTGAATAGATGTAAACTCTTTATACATTTTAGAGAGTAGATAAGGTTGGGCCATGGAGGCCAGCAATCAATGAAGCCGACCGGGGGAAGCTAAGAGGTGTGTGGTCAAGGGCTATGACTCGACCCCAACAAACACTACTAAAGATCTCGGACGGAGCTTGAAATATGCGTCTCTGCACACTGTCTGTATGTAGGGCTCCCCTCAAGGAAGGTTCCTTGATGTTGGTGAGAGGCTCTTGATTTAGGGAATTGGATCTGTGCTCCAGTTCCCCGAACTAAGCCTGAATGCCTTCCACATCCCCCCCTAGGCGCTGTATAATCCTCCGGGTTTAGCGCTTCCCCCTTGATTATAATAATAATAATAATAATAATAATAATGTATGTAGGGCTTCCACAGTTCAGCGACAAGTGTATACAGCGAAGTTTTATCACTACTAAGTGTACACATACCAGGAGGTAGACAGTGACATTCAGGTACTCACAGAGACAGCAGGTTAGAGAGTCCACTGAAGGTGCCATCTGGAAGGTCGACCAGCTGGTTGTGAGACAGGTTCCTGAGTGACAAAATGAGACAGTGAGACAAGCTCCTCAGTTACAAGATTACACACATATTAGGACTTACGATTAAGAAGTTCACTGCAGATTCCAGATACAACAAATGTAGGATCTGACGAGCAGAACTGAAAGGAAAAACTACTTCCAGAACCGTAATTTTTTCATAAATCTGTATTTTAACTGAGACAATAAAACTCGCGTGTAATATCACAAAATTCATCATTTGCATTTTTCATAATAATGATAATTTGCCTTTAAAACAAAGAAAACTCCACATACACAACACCTATTTTCTGTGTTCCATGTTTTCGAGAAAAGTTGTTCCACTCGCCGGGGACAGTTGCCGGCAAGTGGAACAAACAATGGCTCAGTTTGAAGCCAACGATAACGTGGTACAACGAAAAGGTGTTGTATATCCGGGACCTTTCTGTATATACATGAAAGAAATCACAATAAAACTTGTGACAGAAAATATGTAAAAAACAGGAAAAAAAACCTGACACTTTTATGTGCTTAACAATCTTCTGAAGATGTTAGTGTAAGCACATGAAAGGCTTAAGTTTATTTCCTTTTTTTCACTGGTATTTTTACAAAACCACACACACACACACACACAAACACACACACCACACAACACACAACACACATCAATGAAATCACCAAACAAGTGATTTTGAATCATTAACAGAACTGCGGTTTGGCCAGGACTCGATCCAGCATTCCCATCCCCCAGCCCTGGGGTGAAATGAACAAATTTCGCATCAGTCTCCCCACTGAACCTCCATCCTTAAAACATCAGGCCTCAGCTGTACTGAGCGTGTTATTCTTGTGCAAGGACATTCGTGGTCGTGGAGCCTCAGACTAATTTCAACCTCATTGTTGCAACCCTGAATGGGTTGCAATGATTATTATGTATATATAAATTATTACCTTTTCATTTAAATTTTATATTACTTATATTTGCGATAATAGCTAAATCGTAAATGTATTGCTTTATATTGTTATTTGACGTAGTTATGTTGTTAGGTAGGATGTAACATATGTGCTCAGTTCAAGTCTTGATTGTTAACTCTGTAATTATCGCTCTTTGTTTGTTTCCCTGCCGGTTTCTTGTTGGGCAGCGACAGCAACCCACGGAGCTATCACGTGATCGAAAAGGGGGGGGGTGTCCTCACCTCACCTGAAGTATTCAGTCTGCACAAATAACCCGCACATAAAAGAGAAGCTTACGACGACGTTTCGGTCCGACTTGGACCATTGACAAAGTCAACACCGAAACGTCGTCGTAAGCTTCTCTCTTTTATGGCGGGTTATTTGTGTATTGTTCCAGTCACGGTATTGTGCCTTTTTGTTATTTATTCAGTCTGGTCTAGACTCTCTTGGTGGTTGGACAGATTGTCTGTCTCATTATTCTTGTTAGTTCTGTAGAACTCTGTTCACAGAACCTTGTATAGACTTAGTGATTTTCGACGTTGTACTGAGTGTGTGTCTCAGACACTGGTAACTCAGGTCCTGAAAATATGCTTTTGACTAATTTGTACTGGTTTCTGTGTATTATCACCCGTCGGGGGATTTTTCTTTGCTGAACTTAGATTTCAGTAGTATGGAAGTTTTGTAACTTTTGTGGAGGATCTGCTGATGGTCCCTACTTAGTGTCGTTATATTATCTCCCTTTTTCCTGATTCTGTGTCGCAATTGCTTGGGTTTTATTGCTATTGGGCTTTTGCATTCTTTTTGTTGTTCAAGCAGACTGTTCTGGTTGCCAGTCGGTCAAGAAGTTTAGTTTATTTGAGGACTTTTGTCAGTCACTTGTTTAAGTCTAGTCAGTCTTGAGACATACGATCTACTTAGAGCACTTACAACACATACACACAAAATTACTTGTACATATTTGTAATATCTTATTAAATGTTAATGTACCAGACGGTACTTAAGAATTATAAATGTGATGTGCTTTCAGCACAATAATATTGAACTCGAGAGAAGTGATATTATTTTGATTACTGTGATTAATTTAATTTAATTTGATAATATACCTCTAGACTTAATAAATTTATTAAATTTTAATTTCTCTAGTTAGTAGCCTACCAGTTGTAATCCTGAAGCACTATTGAATCATACTGATTTCTAATGGATAATTGGACAAGGATACTGACTACTTGTTACGAAAACCCAGTAACAGGCTGGATGCTAGAATGCAAGTCCTTTCTAGTATTCACTGGAGATCTCTAAGCTTTTAGAATCGCGTTTTTTTGTAACACTCATCCTGTTTGGTGTACCAGCCTTCACGAGCAATCTAAATATCAATGAATTGAAGAAACAAGTGATTTTGACCACGATTTGATTGCACCAGGATAACATGCTCAGCACTGCTGGGCGCCTGATGTTTAAGAATGGTGGTCCAGCGGAGAGAGTGATGCATACTTTGTTCAGTTCACACAGGGCTGGGCATGGGAGCGCAGGATCAAGTCCTGGTCAAGCCGCAGTTGTTAATGGTATAAATAAATAAAATAAAAATAAATATAAAATAAAATATAAAAAATAAAATAAATAATAATATATAAATATAATTTTTATATAAAATATATAAATATATATATATATATATAATAACATATAATTATATACATATTATATATATACATATAAAAATATACATATATATATATACATTATAATTATACATATATATATATAAAATATATATATATATTATATATATATATATATATAAATATTATATATATATATATATATATTATATATATATATGGAATGGGAGGAAATCAGGTTTAAAGATTCTTTCATTACATCAAGGTACCTGTCCTTGAAAATATGGTACTGATAATGAACTGATTGGGAAGATCAAGAGCCAAGATCAAGTGATGAACTTACAGGTTGAGGAGCGTCCTGAGGCCGACAAAGGAGCGGGTAGTGAGGTTGATCAGTCCCTGCCTGCTCAGGTCTCTGCAAAGGCAAGTGAATGTTGCCTCAGCAACGTTTCCGGGAATTAGTGAACATAAATGGTTGGAGAGCAGATGCACGATAAGTATATTGAGAGCGTAGGACGATAAATCCCACACAGTGTTATGACAATACAGTTCAATGGTAGTTTAGGGTATTATCACTACCTGCGTGGGCAAGGATGTAGCGGATACCAGACAAACTGCTTTTCACTAGCAAGCCGTATATAACTGGCATAACTGTTTATTAATAATAAAATGGTATAATTTTATATCGTTTCTCAGCGAAATGGTTATAAATTACTTATAAATTATTATTAAATTAATCTGTATTTATTTCATATTTTTAACTATATCTGCCGTCTCCCACTACAGTACGAAAGGTTACCTAATAAATGTTACATTTACTAGCATTCAATAGCTGTCTTACTGCAAGTGCCTAGACGTGTAGTAAGAATTCAAATGACTATCACTTGTAAAACTCGAACCCCTACCTTAGCGTGCAAGCGCTGTACGTAGTTACGACCTTGGGGACTCGAGTCCACTTTCATGTTATTACACACTCAAACATGTGAAACCAACTTTCCCGAACTCTTTTACACGCTCATACAAGCCTGTTAGATGTTCAAGCCTCTACCACTCAAAATCTTCCTGGGATAACCTCTATTCGTCCTTTCTTCCATCCAATGCAGATTTATGCTCCCCTCTTAGTCATCCTCTGCTCCAACCTAAGGTTGGAGCAGAGGATGACTAAGAGGGGTGACTAAATGAAAGTATTTATGAAAGTCTTATTCTTCCTATTGGAAACGCTGCTGATAAAGTCACACAGGCGTTAAGAAAAGTGTCACATATGCTATAATCACATCAAAAGCCATACGAGACATTACGAGACTAGGACACATCAATGTCGAAGTCTGCATCATTCCCTTCAATGCATGTGATACACAATACATAGGAATTTTTCATGCAATATATGAACTCCAATACGCTTGCAAATTTCACAATACCAGCAACACGTGTGTCGCCCACACTGCATCTGGGGAGGTACTACACCCATCTTCTAAGAATGGGATAGTCCCAGAAGTTTAGAAGCGGTGGCATTATTACAAAGCACATTAAGGACACATTAGTGGATACTTACTGACCCGTAATCAGACATTTCAAACCTAACACTGACCATTATACCTTCTACATTGATCCTCCACTAGCACCATCCTAGTGTTGACCAATATACCTGCTACATTGTTCCCATCCACTAGCACCATCAACCAGGGACTTGACGTATGATTGTCACACTGTTTCAGTAAACAACTAACCAGCACATAGGGGAAAGTAACTTATGACGACGCTTCGTTCCGACTTGCACCATTAACTGGTCACTAATGGTTCTGGCTCAGGCGACCAACATCCATGAGAAGCCTCACCTCATCTGAACAACTTCTACCTTATGCTCCTAGAACAAGCAGAAAACTTAACAGTAACACTTGAATGACTTGAAGCTCTTCGCAGAGAAAAATAAAAGGCTTCTATACTCATCAGAATGTATACAAAGTGCACCTACGTAAAATTCGCCAGGAAACAGGACAAGTGTTTCCTGACGCGGGTCTTAGTCATATGATGACCCGCCACTGGAGTTTATAGCCATCTGACCGAGGCCTTCCGCTGGCTTACCCATCCACCCCTTTAAAAAATAAAATTAAAATTAAAGACTGCACTAATTTTAGACTTTATATCCAAATTATTTCTCCCCCCCCCGGAAAAAAAATACAGAAATCTTTCCAATGACCTGGGAGAGCCATGAAAAGTGATATTCTTGTTTTTCAAACGGCAAAAATTTTAAAATACATGTATAGAATTCTCATTAATGAATGATTTAAAATACTTAATAGCTTGTAAGAAAGATAATGTAGAATTAGACATGTGTAGCATCTTGGTATCTATTTGTAGACGTTTCGCCATCCAGTGACTATCAATACACGGACACTATGTGAAGAATTATATACAAAAGAGGAGGTAATCAGTCCCTCAGCGTTGGAGTTGAAGATCACGGTAGTCTTGAAGGAACTGAGACACAGTCATGAAGCCTAGCGCTTATATACTAGCGACAGGTGTAGGACGTGCAGGAGACGAAGGCACTGTCACTGGTAGGCGGGAATTCCCAGTGGAAGTCAGTCGCACCCAAGAAATGGTCAGAAGAAATAAGGATGTATAGATGTCATCTATACCAAAATTCATTGATGTTGCACGTGTCTAATTCTGCATCTTGTCGGTATTGCATACCATCCGTGTACAAGCAAGATATTGTTTTTACTCAAACATTTTGACTGCTATAAGTGGGTAACCCCAAAATTTTTTGCCAAGAATTTGAAAAGGCAACATTAAAATTGCTAAAAACAGTAGTAATACCTAGTACTAGTAGTAATACCTAGTAGTAGTAATGCCAAGTGACAGTAGTGATACCTAGTAGAAGTAATACCAATAGTGGTAGTATTAGTAGTAATAACTAACAGCAGTAGCTGTAATAGTACATGGTAATAGTAACTGTAGTAGCAATAGTAATGGTGGTTGTAGATGATTCAGGATCACAGAGGTACTTACAATGCGGAGAGCGATGAGAGACCATACAGCGACCACCCGTCAATAGTGACCAGTCTGTTGCCCGTCAGGTGTCTGTTATGGAAGGGAGGGGAGGGGATTGACGGAGGGAGGGGAGGGGAGGGGAGGGGATTGACGGAGGGAGGTGGTATAGGGAGGGGATGTTAGTAAGGAATGGGAGAGGTGGTGGGGTGGGTTGGTAAGGAATGGGGAGGGGTTTGGGAAGGAATGGGGAGGGATGGTAAGGAATGGGGAGGGATGGTAAGGAATGGGGAGGGATGGTAAGGAATGGGGAGGGATGGTAAGGAATGGGGAAGGGTAATAACAGTTACAAATAAAATCCATAATATCGATATATGTGTACAAAAAATAAGATTGCAACATCAGGTAACTATTAAAGCAACGTTTCGCCCACCAGGGAATTGAGCGAAATCTTAATTCAGGTAACTAACATCTCTTGAACATCTTAGAACATGTAATGTAAGACTTTCTAAACACGTTCTGAAACTATGTTAACATCTCTGGTACACGCGCACGCACGCACACACACACACACACACACACACACACACACACACCCCTGGCGGGACCAGGAGCCGAGACTCGACTCAAGCAACCACATATAGTCGAGTACATACACACACACACACACACACACACACACACACACACACACACACACACACACAGGGCCAGGAGCTCGGACTCGACCCCCGCAACCTCAACTAAGTGAGTACACACACACTTCTAAAAATAAGAATTAAAAGACTAGTGTCTGGTATGTAAATCCACACAAGAGCAACTAATGACATTCATTAGGGCTACGTAGGCGAAAAATGTCATTAGTTGCTCTTGTGACCATTTACCTCACATATTGAAGGTAATTTTACCAATATTATACGACTGAAGTGACTAATATCCTCACTGGCTGACAACACAGACGGAGATACAACAACCACATGAATGTTTGTATAATACAACCAAATGATGGAGAACGTAGCAGGTCTTTTGCCACCCTTAACTACACAATGAGGAGACACTGTGTATTGCTCCTGTGAGGTGTAAACCAAGTTGATAAAGTATACAGTGATCTTGTAAACGTGTTCTACAAGTGCGACCATAATGGTGTGACTGCACACAGTGTGTGCAAAAGAAATAGCTGGAGAAGTGGGCAGACGGACATTTAACTTCTTAACCAAGAGAACCCAGAGAGTAGTATAGTAGTAAATAGAGTGAAGTGAGAGGTTGCCACAGTGAAAAGATCCGTTCAGGATGCAAAACATAACACCGTAACATCTTTTATTGATGACGCCACAGGACAAATGTTTCCAGATGCAGGTCAGGAAACAATTGTCCTATGGTGTCACTGGAGTTCCTGGTAGTCTGATCGACGCCTTCTGACTTAATTTATGAAAGGGGTGGATCAGTAAGAACGATTAAGCTATATTTACAGCGAAAAAACATTGGTTTGGAATAAACCATACCCCCGGCCGGGATTGAACACGCGGTCATAGAGTCTCAAAACTCCAGCCCGTCGCGTTAGCCACTAGTTTTGAGACTATGACCGCGGGTTCAATCCCGGCCGGGGGTATGGTTTATTTGCAATCGTGTCATTACGATTTCTTGAGTCATTGGTTTGGAATTATATTAGTCACTTGGACTTTTTAAGTTACCTTGATTCACACACATGTTGAACTATTTATGATAATTATACCTGTGTATCTGTACGTAAATAAACTTACTAGGAAACTAAGACAAGTGTCTCCCAACTCCGGTCCCAGGTAGTCACTAAAAAAACATTGGTTCTGTAACTACAAATATATTATCAATTATTGAGGATTTCAGGAGGACGATGACAATAGCCGACAGGTGAAGTAAAGACACTCGGTAGCAAAGAGTCCTTTTAATACGACGTTTTGCCTAAGGTTTTATTACGAATTCTTGATAAAGCCCAGCCTTGGAAGAAACTTATTCACAGGCTGGTTAACAAGGCTTGAAACCTTTCGACTACACGAGTGTCATTAAGGCTGCCCATAACCTTTTTCACTACCAGACAATACTTTTATCCCCAAAAACAGGGATTTGACTAACCTCTCAGTATATATATACGCTGAGAGAAATACAACTCTGTATATAACCCGTGTAATTTCTGCTACCAGTGTTTATTTCCATTGAAAATTTTGCTAAATTTACGAGAAAAGACGAAAAGTAAAAACTGATACAGAGGGTAAAGTGAAACTTGAGTCTTAGGGAGCCGGACTTTCTAAAAGATAAAAGCAAAAAGGGACCAGAAAATAAAATATAAACTGAGAACGGTGGTTTACCAACCACAGTGACTCTGGTTTACTTGGCGGATGCAATCCTTATACAAGGATTTAGGTGGATGCAATCCTTATACATAAGGATTAAGGTTGATGTAATCCTTATACATAAGGATTTAGGTTGAAACGGTCCTTACACAAGGATTTGGGTTAATACAATCCTTATACGCAAGAATTTAAGGGCTCGTTTTTGAGCTTAGGGATAACCCTATCCTTACACAGCGTATACATAATCTGAGAGTTTAATTTTTTTTTTTTTGGGGCATTCTTATCTTGTGTGAAAAATTAATGCACCCTAAGTGACCCTATGTAGCTGATGGGTTTAAAATCACTATAATCATAATACCTATACTTTTTCGTAAACTAAGATTTTAAGCATTGTATAAATTTGGGACAATGTGGGAAAACCCTTCCATCGGTAGCTGAAAAATAACCCAACTGAACCCTTTGGGAATCAATTTTAGGTTACATTAGGCGGGGTTAGGCTGGTAGACGTTTGGAGTTAACCCCCCCCCCTTAAAAAAAAGCTCTCCCCATAGGTTCTAAATATAGTTTTTTTTTCATTAAAAAACTCAATATTGGAGAATTAGCATAATAAATTACTCGAGCCCATGAACTCAAATACCATCCATCCTGATCTATTAACTCGATGTTTATGTGGAAAATACTATATATTTTCCTGAAATACAGTATATATGTAAATTGATGGCCTATATTGTATTTAATAAAAATTATGTTATAAAAAATGGGAAACTCTGCGCCTGCGCAGAAAGACTCGCCATTGTTTTTGAACTGGGCAAGGAAACGTTAGTGAATAAGAGGAAGAATTTTCGTGCTCTAGAGGTTATATTGGGCTTAAAACCTCTCAAATAGGAGCCGAAATTGTTGGATGTGCATTTCTGCACAAGTTGAGCATTAAACCGATGTACAGGGCAGCTCCAGGAACCTCAGATAAGTCTGTATGTTAAATTCTGGCCAGTAAATTTATCATAAATGGAGGCAAAAAGGGGGGTCCTGTACATGACGCACAGTAATCTCCAGCCAAATTGGTGAGTGGTATTAAGATATATTCCCTTGTTATATAAATGTGTATATATATAATTTATTAATTTTAATATACAGTCCACAAACTTATATATTTACCAGAATTCCTGGTGTGTATGTGCATTTCATTTGTAATTATAGGTCTAGAACAACTTGTGGATATGACAGTTGTAGGTATCGAAGGGGGACATTTTTGTGACCTAGGTGTCCCAAATTCCTACTTGTCTGTGTAACCTTGATAAATAATAATCTTTGTTACTATTTACTGGTATGTACCTTATGAGTTACATCCAGATAAATGTAATTTTCCACAGTTTATATTGTTGGGCAGAGAAATGATGTGATGTATATTTGTTGGGTGGAGGATGTGAATGTAAAATTTGTTGGGTATAGGATTGAAATGTATGTTTGGTACGAGATTGGAATGTTTGGTACGAGACTGGAATGTTTGGTACGAGATCGGAATGTTTGGTACGAGACTGGAATGTTTGGTACGAGACTGGAATGTTTGGTACGAGACTGGAATGTTTGGTACGAGATTGGAATGTTTGGTACGAGACTGGAATGTTTGGTACGAGATTGGAATGTTTGGTACGAGACTGGAATGTTTGGTACGAGATTGGAATGTTTGGTACGAGACTGGAATGTTTGGTACGAGATTGGAATGTTTGGTACAGGATTGGAATGTTTGGTACGAGATTGGAATGTTTGGTACAGGATTGGAATGTTTGGTACGAGATTGGAATGTTTGGTACAGGATTGGAATATATGTTAGGTACAGGATTGGAATATATGTTAGGTACATGATTGGAATATATGTTAGGTACGTGATTGGAATATATGTTAGGTACATGATTGGAATATATGTTAGGTACATGATTGGAATACATGTTAGGTACATGATTGGAATACATGTTAGGTACATGATTGGAATATATGTTAGGTACGTGATTGGAATATATGTTAGGTACATGATTGGAATATATGTTAGGTACATGATTGGAATACATGTTAGGTACATGATTGGAATATATGTTAGGTACATGATTGGAATACATGTTAGGTACATGATTGGAATATATGTTAGGTACATGATTGGAATATATGTTAGGTACATGATTGGAATATGTTAGGTACATGATTGGAGTATATGTTAGGTACATGATTGGAATATATGTTAGGTACATGATTGGAATATATGTTAGGTACATGATTGGAATACATGTTAGGTACATGATTGGAATACATGTTAGGTACATGATTGTAATATGTTAGGTACATGATTGGAATATATGATAGGTACATGATTGGAATATATGTTAGGTACATGACTGGAATGTACAATACACTAGGTACAGTACTAGAATGTATAATATAATACATTAGGTACAGGATTAGAATGTATACGTTAGGTGCAGGATTGGAACATGTCTATTAGTTCACAGAGTGGTATTCCACTGACTGTTCTGATATTTAAAGGGGAACTGAAAAATAAAATAGAAATTGATAAAACTAATACAAGTCAATAAATTTGGAGAAGCTTTTATAATATAGACAAAACAGAAGTATTTCCAGTAAATCAATGTAAAAACTGTTTTATCAGCCAAACTCAGCCTTGGTTTATACAATAATGGAAGAATAAAAAAAATATATTCATTAATATATATATATAATTATATATATATAATATATTATATATATATATATATATTATATATATATTATATATTATATTATATATTATATATATATATATTATATATATATATTTTATATATTGCGATCTTGGCTTAAATAGCAACGTTCATCTTGCCATATTGGACAAGTGAAAAAATTTTTGTTATGCAATAATTTCGCCAAAATCATTCTGAACCTAACGAAAAAAAATGTATTTCACTGTGTTTGTTTAGTATTAAATTACTGAAACAAATTAAAATATATTTAGTTGGGTTAAGCTAAATTAAATTGTTCTTGTTATAATTAAGGTTAGGTAAGTTTTCTAAGTTCTTTTTGAGCAAAATTAAAAATTTTTACGTTAACATTAATGAAAAAATATATCTTTAAACGTATAAGAGAAAATTTTAGAAAGGACTTATTTTAATGAGTTCTTGATAATTGACCAGTTTTACATATTCGGCACGACATATATATATTATATATATATATATATATATTTATATATATATATATATATATATATATATATATTATATATATTTTATATAATGTGTGTGTGTGTGTGTGTGTGTGTGTGTGTGTGTGTTGTTGTGTGTCTGTGCGCGCGTCTCTCTGCATATATACACACAGTTTTAAAATAATCTGGAATGGAAGCAAACAGGTTACATACACCTTCACGACTCTGGTATTATCCGAGCTGCAACGTAGTTAACCACCTATTACAAAAATAACTTTCTAAGCAAGATGTTACCTGTTGCAGAACCACTGAGGCAGACCGGCAACTACCAAGTTTTGTAGCATTAGGTTTAAAGCCTATTGACTGTACATGGGTCATTAAGACTTCTTAACCTGTACACACCTTGTACAATAACAGGATAGAAACAAACCATACCAGGGGCGGGGATATAACCCGCGATCAGTCTCAAAACTCCAGACCGTCGCGTTAGCCACTGGACCAGCTAGCCACAATAAGATTCGTCTAACTAGGTATATTTCTACACAATAGGAAGGTTAGCACAGGCACCACTGTGACCACAAATGCAAGTTTTTACAGACGAATCTCCAGCTAACGTGGCCGTGACGACTCTAGCTCAACGGCATTGAGGGGACTTGAGCTAGAGTTCGTCACGGCCACGCTAGCTGGAGATTCGTCTGTAAAAACTTGCATTTGTGATCACAGTGGTACCTATGCTAACCTTCCTATGGTGTAGAAATATACCTAGTTAGACGAATCTTATTGTGGCTAGCTGGTCCAGTGGCTAACATGACAGTCTGGAGTTTTGAGACTGATCGCGGGTTCTATCCCCACCCGTGGTATGGTTTGTTTGCAATCGTGTCATTGAGATTTCGTTAGTCATAACAGGATAGTGCTAGAAAGTACATTGCTTTCCGAGTTGTATGGTACGGTAGGCTAGTATATCTCCATACAGAGTTCGATTCCGTAATGACATAACAGTTAAGGGCACAATGTAGAGTTGGTGAACTTACAGAGTCCTGAGGCTGGCCAGGCCGAGGAAGGTGGAGTTGTGGAGGGCTGAGAGCTGGTTGTCCCGAAGGTCGAGGATGCGCAGCCGGCCCAGGCTCACGAACACCCCAGCTGGTAGACTTCGCACACTGTTGTTGCTCAGGTCCCTGAGATCACACGGGGCACAGGAATGTGTGGATGATGGATGGTTTAAGTGACACTCCCGAGAGTACCCCACAAGGGGTACTCTCGGGCTCAGATAGGTATACTGTCCAAGAAGTCTGTTTTCCAGGCACTACCTCGTGAATGTACAGTTATACTGGGAATAAGACACATGCATAACCAAGAAGGAAAAGTTTAGCAGCTTGTGGCTTTATTATATAGGTGAGTACAAATAGGAAGCGCATCTGTCTGGCGCTCAGCAGACGGAGGATCAAGCCTCTTACGTCTTGCGCTGAATGACACACATGGGTCTAGCGCTTAACATGAATTAAATAAATAATTGTGGCTTTATCATTCTAATTAACAAAACCACAATGTCTTGAATACGCATGTGTGTCATTTCCACAATCATTAGGTGTTAACCACGGAACGGGTGGGCCTCGAACCTATGACAGGCGAGATATATACTAAACTTTTTGAACCTTAAATTCATGACCCTTTGGATAAAGGAGATCTTGAAGGCAACGTCAGACCTTTTATAATTATAGGTGGGGAGGTGCAGGAGAGATGAAAGATCCAGAAAGATCAGGAAGATGCAGAAGATTCAGGGAGACACTAATTTTAGTGATGTAACTATGCACAGTGGGGTCCATTGTGACCTCTGCAATCCTGTTTTTTATGCTACCGTTAACAGGATGAGCATGGGGTGCATAATATACAAGCTACTCGGGTGGCACAGCTAAAAAGGAGAGATCAGAGAGATATTGACGGATCATGGAGAAAGATCCAGGCTCCTGGTGGGAGCTTATACTGAAAAATAACTTTCCCAGTAGTTAAGTTAGTGTATATATCCCACACATATCGCACATCATTTTATAACTTTCTACATTTTATGTTTGTTTCATAAACTGCAGATTTAGTAGCTATAATCGCCGATTATTTCCATACATCTAATCCCCCTCTCATTCATAGGCGATTTATTTGTTTAATAAGAACCTTGATCATCAATGGTGGCTGCGGTGGGATCTTACTTGTAAAGTTATCGTGTGACCCAGGATCACTCGAGATACTGTAAAATTACTTGTAAGTGTGGATAATTGCTTGTTTAAAGTGACGGTATATTGTAAAGTACACAAACACTTAAAATTGATGATTTAATGAAACGTGATGTTGTTAAAAGGACTTAAAGATAAAAGTTCAAACACAGTTATGTAAAGATTTATATTTATCTGAAATGAAACTAATTTAATGGTTTGTGGATATTTAGAAAAAAAATTATCTGGTGTATGTGCTCTCCCAGATGGTCGTCAACCAGCTCCAGGAAGTCACCAGCTGGGCCGAGCTAAGCTACCAGACCCGACTGACATTCATGTCACTCCTGTTGTACCAGCATCACCACGGCTTATGTTCATTCTCAAAACGGCTTCACACCAACGCCCCGGACACCAGGGCGATGCCCAGAAGAGCTTCCAGTGCCCTACCCGGGAACCTATCTTTGGGTTATGCACCGCCCACTTGATTAGTGTTTGGGTTCCCCCAAGTTCAGTTGCCTTTCCTCTTAGAGAAAGATTTTATCTTACAGGAGGCAAATATCACAGCCCCTCAATAAAATATTAAACGGGTCAGCTATGTAATTAAGACCCGCGTCAGGAGGCTTTTGTCTCCTAATTAGTATTACTGTAATGAATCAAATCCAGTGACCATCGTAATACCTCAGTCACAACCACCACCACAGTCACTATCACCACTACAGTCACTATCACCACCATAGTCACTATCACCACCACAGTCACTATCACCACCACAGTCACTATCACCACCACAGTCACTATCACCACCACAGTCACAACCACCAGTCACTATCACCACCACAGTCACTATCACCACCACAGTCACTATCACCATAGTCACTATCACCACCACAGTCACTATCACCACCACAGTCACAACCACCACAGTCACTATCACCACCATAGTCACAACCACCACCACAGTCACAACCACCACCACAGTCACTATCACCACCACAGTCACTATCATAGTCTCTATCACTACCACAACCACCACAGTCACTATCACCACAGTCACAACCACCACCACCACCACAATATACTCACAGAAAAACGATGTAAGAATACTTCCTGAAGGTTGTGGTTGTCAATGTGTGGTTGATGTAGTTGCCGGACATTCGACTGCAACAGAAGTGAAGCGAGAAAATTAGTTATCCACTGGAGAAGCCGACATGTCTGTCTCAGCTTGTGTGCTGTTAGATAAATACAAGAGTGAGAGGGGTTAAATTTGAGTGGGACTTGTACACGAGTTTATAGGTTTTAAAAACTTATTCCTTAGGTTAGGTTAGGTTCGTCAGGAAACAGGACAAGCGTTTCCTGACGTGGGTCTTGATCAGATGACCCGCTGTTGGGGTTTTTGGTCATCTGACCGAGGCCTTCCCGCTGGCTTATCGGTCCAACCCTTTAAAAGTCGTCATCAGTTATAACTATTTAATTATTTTGCTTATTCCTTGGGAAACATTGAAAATGGGTTGGGCAAAAAATTTTGTAAGTGAGGCTGTGTTTGAGAAAGACTTGCCTAGCGTGGGCCAGTAGGCCTGCTGCGTGTTCATTCTTTATGTTTTGTATCCACATACGTCACCACACCCACGGCCACAAGTACACACACCCACGGCCTCATACGTACACACACCCACGGCCTCATACGTACACACACCCACGGCCCATACGTACACACATCCACGGCCTCTACGTACACACATCCACGGCCTCATACGTACACACACCCACGGCCTCATACGTACACACATCCACGGCCTCATACGTACACACATCCACGGCCTCATACGTACACACACAACTCAGCATATACAAACAAGTAAAAAAAAATATACATGCACATATCCACCAGTACAGAATGTATACACGGCCGACTTGTTGAAAAAAAAAAAAATATTTTATATATATATGTTTTGTGTGGTTGTGTGTGTGTGTGTGTGTGTGTGTGTGTGTGTGTGTGTGTGTTGTGTGTGTGTGTGTGTGTGTGTGTGTGTGGTGTCGTGCCGAATAGGCAGAACTTGCGATCTTGGCTTAAACAGCAACGCTCATCTTGCCATATAGGACAAGTGAAAATTTGTGTATGCAATAATTTCGCCAAAATCATTCTGAACCTAACGAAAAAAAAAAATTTGATTGTGTTTGTTTAGTACTAAATTATTGTAAACGTATTTAAAATATATTTAGTTGGGTTAGGCTAAAATAAATTGCTCTTGTTTTAAAAAGGTTAGTTAAGTTTTCTAAGATTCTTTTGGTGCAAAATTAAAATTTTTTACATTAACATTAATGAAAAAAAATATATCTTTAAATGTATAAGAGAAAATTTTAGAAAGGACTTAATTTTAATTGAGTTCTTGCTAATTGACCAGTTTTACATATTCGGCACGATATATATATATATATATATATATATATATATATATATATATATATATATATCATACTTTACAGGCGGAACGGAGAGATTTAAAACAATATATTTTTATTCTATTAACAAATTATTAAGAGATTCACATGTGACGCAAATGTTAAATTTAACAGCAACACAAATCAGCAGAAAATAATACGTTTAACATTACAACTTAGTGGTGCCCAGCATTTAAATAAAGTTAATCTAAATTTAGTTACCAATGGCACAAACTCGTGGAAAAAAAAGTATTGTATATTTTGGCCTAAGGCTTAGTGGGACTGGTAACTACACAATGATGTACACAACGAATGTAGTGTATGTACTGCAGCCACCTGACGTGTTATGATGGAGGTGGGTCACCTGGAGGAACGAGGCCAGGCGAAGGAATGTAATGAGGTGCAGGAACGAGGCCAATTGGAGGAACGAGGCCAGGCGAAGGAATGTAATGAGGTGCAGGAACGAGGCCAATTGGAGGAACGAGGCCAGGTGCGGAAACGAGGCCAGGTGGAGGAACGAGGCCAGGTGGAGGAACGAGGCCAGGTGGAGGAACGAGGCCAGGTGGAGGAACGAGGCCAGGTGGAGGAACGAGGCCAGGTGGAGGAACGAGGCCAGGTGGAGGAACGAGGCCAGGTGGAGGAACGAGTCCAGTGGAGGAACGAGTCCAGGTGGAGGAACGAGTCCAGGTGGAGGGAACGAGTCCAGGTGGAGGAACGAGTCCAGGTGGAGGAACGAGTCCAGGTGGAGGAACTATGGTGCAGTGGAGGTTACCTCATGACAAGGGCATTTATTACCATCGGGTTTGGGCCCAATAACATTACAAAAACGGGTCACCGTCTAGCCTCACCGTCAGAGCGAAACAATACCAGGAACTGGATGTGTTCTTACAATGTTAAGATTCAACCCACAAGAGAATTTTGTGTGTATATTTTGTAATATATTTTATGGATTTGACGTCCTAGGTTTTACGATTTGTTAAATTATTTGTTAAATTATTCACATTTTTTACCAAAGCGACACCAGCTTTTTCTCGGTATACTGGAACACTTTTTGATGTGTGGGGTATTTACAACTGATACCACATATGCAAACTCCCATGGCATAATATTTACATGTTCTTCTCCTTTACATTTTCCTGCTGCACATTCAGCTTTGTCTGGTGAATTTTCTTTTTGGTCTTCCTGTCTATCATGCTCTAACGATATTTCTTGTGCTTCTCCGTGTTGCTGCCTATTTCTTCTTGAATGTATCTCATGTACACTGTTTTACTCCATGATTCTGTTTCGTTTGTGTTGCTTGCACCTCTAAATTTTTCCTCCCATGTCTTCCTCTGTTTTGTGTTTCAGTCACACTTCTCCCTCTAAAGTTTTCATTTATAATTTGAAAATGCTTTACTCGATCGATTTCAAATTTTAAATACTGACAGATAGAAACCTAATAAGTTTACGTTCTGTAGATGCAAATTTAATTATTTTATTTTGCATAATTAACTTGGAATCGTTGGGGCTCTGAATAATAACTGAAGAATAGGACTGAAGTTTGCATTGCGAATTGTGCCTGAGTAATTAACCTGTTTTACTAAAGTTGGTTTCCAAGTACTGCCTGAAAAATGCCTCTTCTGCTTGTCTTCAAACTCTTTGTTGGTGCATGATCATTAGTTTGGATTCCTCTTGGGCAGTGTAGGTGAAAATTTACCAACTATATTATTATTATTATTATAATCAAAAATTACCAACTATATCGTAGCGAAAAATTTAAATCTGGATTTCATGCGACAATTTATGAATGCCTCATCAGGTCACCCACAAGTGTTCATTGTTAATGTATCTTAGATAAAGCGATGGATTATCAGGCTGTGTGTACCTGCCAGTTTGCAAAACTATATTGCAACCTACACAAATAACCCGCACATAAAAGACAGAAGCTTACGACGACGTTTCGGTCCGACTTGGACCATTGACAAATGGTCAATGGTCCAAGTCGGACCGAAACGTCGTCGTAAGCTTCTGTCTTTTATGTGCGGGTTATTTGTGTATCGTTCCAGTCACGGTATTGTGCCTTTTTGTTATTTATATTGCAACCTCTCAGCTGTCCTCACTGCTTTCTCGTAGAAGGTATGCGTGTTCCAGTCTCTTAAATCAACATTCTTCAAGGATTGTAGGGAATTTGGAATAAAATAAATCTGAGAAAAGTGAAAAATATTAAAAATTCATGTATTTTTTGGTAATTTGAGTTTAGTGGCCCTTTTATATCATTTTCGCACGGTTACATTCCAGAACCGGCACAAATACTCAGGTACGGTAATCTTTTGTTACTCGGAGGTTTTCGTCTAACTCGAGAATGGCTTAGTCGATCACTTTCATATTTTCAGTGCTAGTGAAGCATAACTAAGGAATGGTACATGGCACTGTTAACACAAAGGCGCCTTCTAGTAAATTTTATATAGATCATTCCCAAATTTGGCTTCTGGGCAGTAACTTTAGAAAGTCCCTTCTGATCGGCTTCAAAGTTTCAGCAGTGATGAATCGGACTTAGGAGGAATTGTTACCGGAGGTCTGGTGATGCCAGGGGCCAACTCCTTGATTGTATGCCCCAAATCACTATCATAATTCCCTTTCTAATTGGATCCCCCCCCCCCTCATTTGGATGCCCGGGGCCACCGTCCCTTCGGCCTTCCTCCCTCTGCTTGCCACTGCACGTGACGTTGTCCACTGACCCTCTGAGAACCCATAACAAGCTATCACTTGACGTTGTTCAGTGACCCATTTAGACCCATCCAGGAAGATATCAGTGTAGCAATTTATCACCTGATTAGAATACTCTGGTGGCCAATTACCACGTCAATATAATCAGATGGTAAGATTAAACAACAGGTCTGATTAAGTCACAATTCCAGGCAGTAAATTTGTAATACAAAGTCTGCTTATAGTGTCAACATACGAGATCATTAAATGGCTTTATCGCCTTAATCATTGTAATATAATGTATAATACATCTCTTTCTATAAACTTAATCCACGCAGACAGCAAACAAAGGGTTGTTTGCTTGCCAAGTAGGACGCCCTAATGAAACTGCTTAGCAGTGTGTTACAATTAAACTGTAAACAGATCTATTGATTCATTGTACATTTATCCAAGTCGAATATATCAAGATAGAATGTTGACAGATAAGACAAACAATGGACTATCAAATCAGACAGTTGACTGACCCCAACATATTTCAATTCAAAGTTTATTCTTTATAAGGATTACAATGCTGAGTTTACAGAATTTGGTTACTGTGTGGTTTACATGTAGTAAAATAATAATTACAGAGTACCACTAGAACGCCTAGCATGGCTAGGCATTTCGGGCAGATTAGTCTGCAATTAGTCTGTTCACTGAGTTATGTTGAATTAACGTATCAAGTGTTGTAATTTAAAGCAACTGGCCTGGAATGAGAGGTGACTAGCAATTAGTTGTTCAGCCACGCAAGTCGTTCCCAAAGAGCTGTCAATTATGCTCTCATAGTGATTATTATATACTAGCTGCTGATTGGTGGTGATTAATAAAATGTGACATTGTCATTAATGATCGTAATTATAAATCGAAGAACCGATAGCTATAGCAATTACCTAACTGCTGATAGGGGTGATTAAGGTGGTTGGAGATTGTGTCTGTTAGATCAACAATCATTACCATATAACTGGTTAAGCTTTCAATTTTGCTCACAGATCAATCTATGAGCATAACCGAGTAATTAATAACTACATAAATTAGTTGATCCTGTTCATCGTAGGAGTAAGTGATTTATGCTTATTATATGCTATTACTGACCACTAATTAGCATTGATATAATTATAAACATTGTGAACTACAATTAGTCACATCAATTAGAGACACGAGATAAGATGAATCAATAAAACCCTAATATAAATTATGAATAATTACCACGGTAATTAAGTGCTAAACACAGTTGCGTGTTATTAAAAGCAGTTAATTAAATCTGTCAGTTGTCTGTCATGTTGTACAGTTATGTTAGAAATGGTATAAAATACTGACAAGTTGATGATTGAGACACGTGTAGCAGTTGATACATGTGTAGCAGTTGACACATGTGTAGCAGTTGACACATGTGTAGCAGTTGACACATGTGTAGCAGTTGACACATGTGTAGCAGTTGACACATGTGTAGCAGTTGGACACATGTGTAGCAGTTGACACATGTGTAGCAGTTGACACATGTGTAGCAGTTGACACATGTGTAGCAGTTGACACATGTGTAGCAGTTGACACATGTGTAGCAGTTGACAGTGTGTAGCAGTTGACACATGTGTAGCAGTTGACACATGTGTAGCAGTTGACACATGTGTAGCAGTTGATGACTGAGACATGTGCAACAGCTGGGTATCTTTAGTGTTGAAACCACTACTGCGACTTGTAGGTTCGCCGGTGGTGACCCAGCCCGGGTCTTCTCCAGATGGTGACCGGGCCTTGGCTTCCCCGGGTGGGGGGTAAGCGGTGGGCCAAGGCCGGGTCATTATTTGGAATCACCATCCAGGTCACCATCTGAAGTCATCATCAGGGTCACCATCTGGAGTCACCATGGCCTACACAGTAGGCTTCTTCTGTCACATGCAGAGGCAGCTGGTGTAATCAGGGACGGAGCTACTCTGAAACTATTAGACTTCAGGGGCCCCTAATCTCGGAGGGGCTCCAGAAGCCACTTTAGTTCATAATATTTAAAAATTTTGGATTTAAAAAAGTATTAGTGTAATTTAATAGAAAATAAACTAAAATAAAAATTAAATGAAAAAGGTTATTATAGTATGACGTAGGTCAGCGAAGGAGCCCCATAAGAATTCAAGATTCAGGGCCCCAAAAATGTAGGTTCGCCATTATGTGTAGTAGTGAAATGAAGATATAATCAGTGCAGAAGAGTTCACCTCAAGTGAACTCTTCTACAGGTTGAGGGACTGACAACCTCTATTTCTCCTAAGTTAACTGACTGCATCATCTTCATGTCACTACTACACCTGTTGCCTCTGTATTAGACTGAGGAAGCCTACTGTGTAAGCCAAGAGTTTCAGCAATAACGATACCCAACTATTGCACATGTGTCTTGACCAACATATTGTACAGCTGTTAATTACCAAACACCTGCTGCCTCAGCTATGTTGGTCATCAATACGAGTCAATTACGCCAGTTAAACTAATTCGGGGGGAAAAAATTGCAGATTATCTATCGGGAAAATATCACTGGACAACAATAAATTTGCTTTATCGCTCTGCTTATATACATAAAACTTGAATGCTAGGCATCATGGCTGCTTGTCAGGAAGTCACAGAACATCAGTCGTGCTCTGGATGTCTCACTGTTCAGGTATTTACAAAGGATCAACTGTTCATTGTCTATGTTGGTGTTTTTGTTTAAATTATATTTCTTCTCTACATATACATACCTATATTTACCTTCGGTTTCTCTTACTCTTTCATATGAAATCGCTATTTCAGGATAATATCCCTATACCAGGCAGACCAATAAATTTATTGGCCTGCCCTATTATTATTATTATAATCAAGGGGGAAGCGCTGAACCTGGGGGATTATACAACGCCTGGGGGGGGGATGTGGAAGGCATTCAGGCTTAATTCGGGAACTGGAGCACAGATCCAATTCTCTAAATCAAGAGCCCCTCACCAACATCAAGGAACCTTGAGGGGTGGCCTGCCCTAAACAGTGCAGACAACTTTTGCTATATATGTGGCAAATATACACCAGGTGATCAACGGAAAAAAAACATGTGTTAAGACTGTATCCAAAGGTAAAATAGCCCCTCCCCCCCCCCACACACACACGTACGTCCTGTGCTGTGGACAGAATAATTCAGTTGAAACTCAACCTTGTATACAAAATTAATCACAATCATTATCCCATCACCTGCATCACTTTCCTTTACAGCTTCGCTAGTAGTCTCTCCTCTCAGCTTCTCCACTCTTTTTCCCCTCAGGCATTTTCAGCTTCCCTCAACCCCCTCCTTTCCTCTCAGTATCTTTCTCCTCTTGGATCCAACAATCCATTTCTATCCCTCTCTGCGCCTCTTAGCCAGTCTCATTCCCTCTCAGCTCCTACATTCCCACTCGGCTCCTTCGCTCCCCTCTCAGCCACTATCTTCCTCGCCTCGAGTCTCACAACAGATGTTCAGGTAATGATCATTTACACTAATCATAAAGCTCAACATGTGCACTGTAGCCTCAAGGGACCGGCACTTGTCCAGGCACACACACACACGCACACACGCGCACACACAAACACACACAAATACACACACACAAATACACGCACACGCACACACACACACACGCACAAACACACGCACGAACACACAAACACACGCGCACACACACAAACACACACACACACACACGCACGCACACACAAACACACAAAACACACAAAACACACACAAACAAACACACACAAACACACACAAAACACACACAAAAAACACACAAACACACACACAAACACACACACAGGGCTGGCTGGCTCTGGCTCTCTCTCTCAGTAATAATATTACGAGATTAGACTAAGATTTTTCTACCTATATCATATAAGCCAAATACTGTTATCTAAGAAAGCTCATTTAAAAGCCTTTGTTAACATTCCTCAATTAAATTCTCTCTCTCCCCCTCTGACTCACTCACTCACTCTGTATTTAAAAAACGAGAAATCTGAATTTCAATATCCGGGGGAAAGGCGTTAGTCCCTGTTTTCAAACTGATGGTTATGTCCCGACCTCACAGCTGGGCGCCGGGCGAACACCGAACGCTGCAACAACAGAAAAACGATGAACACTAACCCAAAAGTAGGAACAGGTTAAACGGACATGTGAAAGCGGAGGGGGAAAAAATACAATTTGCGTATCGGTTTCTTACTAAGTGGATGGAGATCGATCTCGCAACAGGTTTTTTAAAATTCCCTTCCCCCTTGAGTACTTTTTAATAACATTACTGAGGGGGTGTTATGTTACTAACGCCCAGTGACGCCCCAGACAGTAACGTAAATCACTGACAGCCCCACGCACGAACGAACATCACGAAAACCCCCCGTTTATTATGCTTACTAAAAATTTTTTAAAATATTTAACCGGTATAAAGTTCACAAATTTTTATGTCAAAAATACTATTTTATACTTCGTGGCCGCCTGTTTGGTACACCCGCTCGTTAAAACAAAATTCTAATCAGCCCAACCATTGGAAAATCCCAGTGCCCAAAACATGAGATTGGTCAAGACGCTCACTTGTTCAGCTATAACAAAAATGGGGAAGAAATGTTTAAACTTTGTGGGACCATTGAATGTTGTTGGGGCCAACGGTGGGTTTGGTATTCGCAACTGTGATCTTTTTGGGATTTTTTACGCCAAAAAAACTCTGGTTTACACGAATGGTATACACAAAATATCCAGGGAGTGGCAGTTCTGTGGGCGAAAATGCATTGTTAACAGAGGCCAGAGGCGAATGGCCAGAGTGGTTCAATCTGGCAGGAAAGTAATCAACTCGACCACATGTTACAACAGTAGTATGCAGAAGAACATCTCTGAATGCATAACTCGTAGAAACTTGAAGTGGATTGGCTACAGCAGCGTAAAACCACTCCGGGTTCCACTCCTGTCAGCTAAGAATAGGAAACAGACTACAGTGGGCACAATATCACCAAAACTGGACAGTTGAAGATCGGAGAAACATCGCTTGATCTGACGAATCGCTATTTCTACTGTTACATGTAGATGCCAGCGTCAGAATTCAGCGTCAGCTTCTGGAATGTGGACGAACGAGAGATTCGCAGCATGGATGTGCAGCCAACAAGTCAGCATCAACTGCGTGATGCTATGTCAACATGGACGAGGATCTCTAAGGAATTTTTCAAGAACTTTGGTAAATCCATGACTCGAAGAATTCAGGCTGTTCTGGAGGCAAAGTTAACCCTTACCCAGTACTAGATGGGTGTTCCTAATAAAGTGGCCACTGTTATATATATATATATATATATATATATATATATATATATATATATATATATATATATATATATATATATATATATATATATATATATATATCTTTCGTATTAGTTAACATGAATTTCATGTTGCATTTTGGGTAATTTGCTTTATATATTAATGATGCCTTGCATAAGAACACAACAGTGACCAACCTGCCGTCATGTTTCTCTAGGTTTCCATGAAGGTTGATAACTCCTGAGCCGAGAGCTGCAGAAAAGATTTTTTACGACTACTGACAAGTTCTGAGCGACACATTCCACAAGTTGATGGCGAGTTGGTGGCAGGAGCAAGCATACCAGCGTGTCGTCAGGCAGTCCCTCCTTCCCACTTCTCCTTCCTTCCTTCTTTCTCTCTCTCCCCTTTATTCTTTTTCCTTTTCTTCCTCTTTTTCCTATCGTGCATCACGTCAGTAATCCGCCGTCAACAGCCTTGGAAGATCCCGTAAATACCTTCCTTTTTGAATGGCACACTTGACTGAATTCTTGAGGTGCGAAGCTCCCTTGCTGGGTTGCTGAGGCGTGTAGCTCCCTTGCTGGTTTCCTGAGGCGTGTAGCTCCCTTGCTGGTTTCCTGAGGCGTGTAGCTCCCTTGCTGGGTTGCTGAGGCGTGCAGCTCCCTTGCTGGTTTCCTGAGGCGTGTAGCTCCCTTGCTGGGTTCCTGAGGCGTGTAGCTCCCTTGCTGGGTTCCTGAGGCATGTAGCTCCATTGCTGGGTTCCTGAGGCGTGTATCTCCCTTGCTGGGTTCCTGAGGCGTGTATCTCCCTTGCTGGGTTCCTGAGGCGTGTATCTCCCTTGCTGGGTTCCTGAGGCGTGTAGCTCCCTTGCTGGGTTCCTGAAGGATGTAGCTCCCTTGCTGGGTTCCTGAAGCGTGTAGCTCCCTTGCTGGGTTCCTGAGGCATGTAGCTCCCTGGCTGGGTTCCTGAAGCGTGTAGCTCCCTGGCTGGGTTCCTGAAGCGTGTAGCTCCCTGGCTGGGTTCCTGAAGCGTGTAGCTCCCTGGCTGGGTTCCTGAAGCGTGTAGCTCCCTGGCTGGGTTCCTGAGGCGTGTAGCTCCCTTGCTGGGTCCCTGAGGCGTGTAGCTCCCTTGCTGGGTTCCTGAGACATGTAGATCCCTTGCTGAGTCCCTGAGGCGTGTAGTTCCCTTGCTAGGTTCCTGAGGCATGTAGCTCCATTGCTGGGTTCCTGAGGCATGTAGCTCCCTTGCTGGTTTCCTGAGGCGTGTAGCTCCCTTGCTGGGTTCCTGAGGCGTGTAGCTCCCTTGCTGGGTTCCTGAGGCGTGTAGCTCCCTTGCTGGGTTCCTGAGGCGTGTAGCTCCCTTGCTGGGTTCCTGAGGCGTGTAGCTCCCTTGCTGGGTTCCTGAGGCGTGTAGCTCCCTTGCTGGGTTCCTGAAGGATGTAGCTCCCTTGCTGGGTTCCTGAAGCGTGTAGCTCCCTTGCTGGGTTCCTGAGGCATGTAGCTCCCTTGCTGGGTTCCTGAAGCGTGTAGCTCCCTGGCTGGGTTCCTGAAGCGTGTAGCTCCCTGGCTGGGTTCCTGAAGCGTGTAGCTCCCTTGCTGGGTCCCTGAGGCGTGTAGCTCCCTTGCTGGGTCCCTGAGGCGTGTAGCTCCCTTGCTGGGTTCCTGAGACATGTAGATCCCTTGCTGGGTCCCTGAGGCGTGTAGCTCCCTTGCTGGGTTCCTGAGGCATGTAGCTCCATTGCTGGGTTCCTGAGGCATGTAGCTCCCTTGCTGGGTTCCTGAGGCGTGTAGCTCCCTTGCTGGGTTCCTGAGGCGTGTAGCTCCCTTGCTGGGTTCCTCAGGCGTGTAGCTCCCTTACTGGGTTCCTGAGGCGTGTAGCTCCCTTGCTGGGTTCCTGAAGGATGTAGCTCCCTTGCTGGGTTCCTGAAGCGTGTAGCTCCCTTGCTGGGTTCCTGAAGCGTGTAGCTCCCTGGCTGGGTTCCTGAAGCGTGTAGCTCCCTGGCTGGGTTCCTGAAGCGTGTATCTCCCTTGCTGGGTCCCTGAGGCGTGTAGCTCCCTTGCTGGGTCCCTGAGGCGTGTAGCTCCCTTGCTGGGTCCCTGAGGCGTGTAGCTCCCTTGCTGGGTTCCTCAGGCGTGTAGCTCCCTTACTGGGTTCCTGAGGCGTGTAGCTCCCTTGCTGGGTTCCTGAAGGATGTAGCTCCCTTGCTGGGTTCCTGAAGCGTGTAGCTCCCTTGCTGGGTTCCTGAAGCGTGTAGCTCCCTGGCTGGGTTCCTGAAGCGTGTATCTCCCTTGCTGGGTCCCTGAGGCGTGTAGCTCCCTTGCTGGGTCCCTGAGGCGTGTAGCTCCCTTGCTGGGTCCCTGAGGCGTGTAGCTCCCTTGCTGGGTCCCTGAGGCGTGTAGCTCCCTTGCTGGGTTCCTGAGGCATGTAGCTCCCTTGCTGGGTCCCTGAGGCGTGTAGCTCCCTTGCTGGGTCCCTGAGGCGTGTAGCTCCCTTGCTGGGTCCCTGAGGCGTGTAGCTCCCTTGCTGGGTCCCTGAGGCGTGTAGCTCCCTTGCTGGGTCCCTGAGGCATGTAGCTCCCTTGCTGGGTTCCTGAGGCGTGTAGCTCCCTTGCTGGGTTCCTGAGACATGTAGATCCCTTGCTGGGTCCCTGAGGCGTGTAGCTCCCTTGCTGGGTTTCTGAGTCTTAAGTGTAAAGGGTCGCAACTCGACTTGCTCGGTTTGCGAAAGAGTGATAACCACGCCATTAGACCAATTTTAATAATAAGGGGAATAATAAAAAGTATGAAACATGTACATCATTAATCCCAGCTGCCATAGGTTGATACTTTGACAAAGGTGACGCCAGTTCAAGATCTATAATGATACATTGCATGATTTACCCGCTCTGGAAGTAAACTCCAAGAAAATAATTCCTGGGTTGGATGAATATTTGGGCGCCATATTCCGCATCGTTTTCAATTTCACGTTCGTAGAATTGAGCTTGATCCGTTGAGAATTAAGTTCTTCAGCAATTAAACTTAGTTGATATTATGACAGTAGACATGGACCTTCATCTGTTTGGAAACGAGATAGCTGGAGGTAGGACTATAATGATAACGAATCCAAGCGGTATTGTTGAGAGGAATGGCCCAAGACATGCAAGGCGACCCCCAGGGTACGCATTTGTGAAAATCGCCGCGGAAAATCCGTGAGACGGCCACGCCTGGGGACACGAGAGACGGACGACTCAAACCAGTAAAGGAAGAAGGAATAGACGTGTGTTGCATAAAAAACGACCGATCTGCAAGTTAAAAATGCCAACGGGGGTGACAACGTGGAGGGGAATAGGAGTGAGAAGATCAAAGATTATTTTTTTTTTTCTCTCTATGAAGATCAGGAATCGTCGACGATTCAAGAAAAACTGAGAGGTCAATACACGAGGGAATGAAAAAAATGAATGTTCTCATAAGTGGCATACTCGGGATTAAGGTGGTGAGACATAAAGGGGTAAAATGAGACACCATTATCGCCTAAGAGCAAGAGAGGCACAGAGGAAACAATGATCCCAGAGCATTTTAAGGTAAGGGTTGAAAGAAAAAGATACGAAGGAAACTGAGAAACATTTATCTAAGTAAATACAGCGCATTCATGCTAAGAGGCATCAGAGATAAACTTTCAGAAGAAATTATAAATCTACCCTTGTTTTATGTTATTATGGAAATTATAGCAGCCTCAAGCATTTACATTTGCAAGTGTCTAGCTACTTTACAACTAGACGAGTGTCACTCCATTTCATCAAGAGGTTGGTGGTGTAGGAGATAAAGGAGGGACCAGAGAGGAGAGGTGATGTAGGTGAAGCTTGTGGACAATGAGAAAGAAGCAGAGAACCTCCACAACCATCAGTGAAGCAGAGAAAGTGAAGTGTGGAGGAAGTGTAAGCAAGGAAAATGACCGAAGAGGAGAAAAAGGAAGATGAAGCCGAGCACCGGAAAAAAAATCAGAAGCAGTAAGGGCAGGTAGGCTATCTGCATATATCATCGAAAATTTGCTGCGCCCGAAGAGCGGAGAAGGACGAGAGAGACGACCTCGATGTTACGCATAAGTCTGTAAACCTCCGATCTAGAGGATGCAAGTTCCCTGCTCTGAGGTGGAAGGACGATGGATGGGCAGGGGTAAGGGCAGGGATGGGTGTGGATGGGGATGGAGGGAGGAGTGGTGTTGAAGGGAGTATGATTGACAGGGGAAGGGAAGAATGATGGGAGTGGAGGGTTGTAGATTGAGAGAAAGGAAGGGAAGATGGGAAGAAGGTCACTAGGAGTGATCGATTGATCTTCTGAGGACATGTATGTATGAAAACAAAAGAAGGCGCTTTAAGTTTTCATGTGTAAGTCCATACATCTCCAATAAGAGGACATCTTGAAATATCAATAGAAGTTCAGAGAATTACCTTTAAAGAATACAGACAGTAGTTCATTACGGCTTAAATTGAGTTCATAGACAGTGGCTTCGAGGGAGGCGAGGGTAGATTTACTGTGAAAAGTATTGGGACTGTGAAAGGACAAGGTTACTGACGGTAGCCATGACGCAGAAACTACACAACAGCGTCTTCTGTGAATCTTACCTATTAGAAGCCCCGTAGCTCGGCGGTATAGCGCTGATTTGTGTATCCAGTAATTTCGTAAAAATCATTCTGAACCTAACGAAAAAAATGTGTGTGCTTGTTTATTATTAAATTACTGTACACTTGTACAAAATATATTTAGTTGGATTAGAGTAATTAAGTTGCGCTTGTTATAAGGTCAGGTAAGTTCTCTAAGGTACTTTTGGTACAAAATCATCAATTTTTATATTAACAAATGAAAAAATCTTTAAATGTATAAGAGAAAATTTAAAAAAAGACTTAATTTTAAACGAGTTCTTGCTAAGTGACTAATTTTACCTATTCGGCACGACATTATATATAAAATCATTCTTGTAGTGAAAAAAATTCGTGAAGTCGTAATTCCTTAATAACTCTAGTATAGTGAATAAGGTTTAAAACCCATTAACCAATATTTTTTTTCCAGTATAAGTGAGAAGTTAAAGCAGGTACCATCAGGGGCACCATAAACTACCATGACAAAAGTGATAATGACAGAATTCGGTGAAGGTAATATGGCCACGACGAGGCTGCAGAGTAATGAGAACTGCGGCAGAGAGAAAAAATGAAAACCCTGACTTAAAATGAGATGGTGTATTGTGAGGACTCCCGGCTGTGTTAAATGGATGCACATTACAGAGGAAGTTATAATGCGTTTCTGAGGGATTTTTGGTGTATATTTTCATTTCTTTTATTCTTTTTGTGTTCATTTATTTGTTGTATCGTAGGTCGAGGCGAGGCTATAATCCTTGCCAGACTGACCATTACAAAGATAATTTATTCACTTTATTATTATTATTATTATTGTTGTTAGAGACAAGATTCAGACTTGCAGCGGTAATGCAATGCTACCTATTCTTAAAGCTGTGTGCGAAATCTGCTTACTAAAATCTAATGGTTCTGTGGAAAATACTGTATATATTTTCCAGAAATTCAGTATTTATATGTAAATAGATGGCCATACTGTATTTAATAATATTTATGTCATAGAAAACGGAAAGCCTGCGTCCGCGTAGGAGACTCGCCATCTTGGTTTTGAATTGGATACAACGTTAATTTAATTGGAAGAATTTTTCGTGCACTAGAGGTTAAAATTGGATTGACACCTCTCAAATAGGAGGCGAAATTGTTGGATGTGCATTCCTGCATAACTTGAGATATCAGACGACTGGACAAGACAGCTCCAGGAACCTCAGATAAGCTCTCTAGATTTGTGTGTAATTCTGGCCAGCATTATTTTCATAGATTTAGTAAGAGTGAGGTTTTCTGAGTATGATACACATAAATCTCCAGTCAAATTGGTGAGTGATATTAAGATATATTTTCCTTCTGTTATGTAATTGTGTATATATATAACCATTTATTATTTTTAATATACAGTCCACAAATTTATATATTTACAAGTATTCCTGGTGAATGTATATTTCATTTAATTAATAGGTCCAGAGCAACTTGTGGATATGACAGTGGTAGGTATCGAAGGGGGACATTTTTTGCGACCTAAGTGTCCCAAATTCCTACTTGTCTAACTGATAAACAATAGTTATCATTGTTCATTTACTGTTATGTATATAATTATACATCCAAGTAAATGCAATTTTCCACAGGTTCTGATCATAACCATAATTTTGAAAGGGGTGGAGGGGTAAGCCAGTGGAAGACCGGTCAGATGACCAAAACCTCCAGCTGTGGGTAATTGTCTGAGACCAGCGTCAGGAAACACTTGTCCTGTTTCCTGACAAACCTTACCTAACCTCGTTTGCTTATACCACTTGTTCACTCAGGCCATCACACGTTTTTGACCACCCGGAGACTGAAGAAACATTTCCTGACTTCCCTGTGGATCATCCGAGTTTAAAATTTCCTTCTGTGCCCGTGTAAACCCGTTTTGCACCTCTACAACACTCATTTTTTTCTATACATCTTGCATATCATATTTAAATCTTTGGTTCTTTTACCATTTAATGCAATTAGGATAAATTCTTTTAGTTTACCTTCATAGTTTCTCATTCAGACTCCCGGATTAGCCTCATTGCAGACATTACATATTTCTGTTTGCTTCACTATGGATTCTATGATGATCCTGCATATATACAACGTATGTCACATGTGTGGTCGATAATTAATCTTGAGACTCCTGAGCTCATCTGAACGTCGCTCATCAGCCCACAAGTTATTAGACTAATACTCTCTTCTGGCGACATGTTGAGCGTTATGCTGACGTCTAGGTCCTCCTAGTGTGAGGATTGTATCCTCTGTTCTAAGTCTGGGTTTCTGTGTATGTAACTTATGTCTTCAAGTTCATTTCATAAGGCTGGAATCCAGCAGCCACTTCTGTACAATTGCTACAATACGTCTTCCTCTTGTTTCTTGCCAACGTTTTCAATTATTAAAAAGGATCGTAGTAGCCACGCGTGTTCATGTGAAGGAGAGGGAGAGTGGATGTGTGAAAATAAATGAATGAATGTATGAGACTTTTCTTGGTTTCACCCCATTCATAAATATCGGCCAACTAATGGTTTGGAGAGGCATGAGCATTTTCCCCGGAGTTAGGATTCAGGAGCGTGAGTGTGTGCAGTGTCAGCAGTGTGCAGTGTCAGCAGTGTGCAGTGTCAGCAGTGTGCAGTGTCAGCAGTGTGCAGTGCCAGCAGTCTGCAGCGAACTATGTGAATTTCGTCATGCCTGCGCCTCTCTCGGCTTATTCAACAGAGAAATATAAGATACTGACCAGTGCTACGGACTTGGCCCAGGTAGCACTGCCATCAGTGTTGCCTTATGGAAAATTCACAGCGAGTGGAGCCACCTGTTGGCAGTTGCCCCAAACTTTCATATCACACACAGCCACGCATTTTTTTTTAAGCACGTATTCTAAAATGACTGATTTTTTTTCCAGTTTTCTAAACACTCAAAAGTTATTTTGAAACAGTTAATATGAGATAAAACTTGAAACAGGGAAGAAAAAAATGCATAGTAACGAGTGACTGACACCTGACACCAGCTCACCGACCGTGAGGGGAAAAAAACAAAGAAATATGCAATGACTTTCAGGCTAAAGATTTTTTCCCCTCTTATTTTTCTTTTCCGGCGTGG